TGGGGTTCCGTTTGCCTTGGGTTGAGTGGGAAATCCGTGGGATCATCGTGGGGCCGTGGTCCAACAAGAGACAACCCTTTTTTACATCTGCTTGCCTGCCAGAGCCGTCTCCATCTATCAATCATCTCTTCCCATTTCCAAACACTTCTCAACACTTCCAAGCATCTCATAGCACCAATACCCTCTTACATACAGACAGTAGCTTGCATTGGCTGCGTTTGTTGTATACTCGAATCATCGCTGTTTGTTCACCTCAGACCAGACCTTGTATAACATCATTTTCTATACGTGACACGCAGACACGCAACTCTCTGACCTGACCGAGCCCAAGGCCCCACCGGACTTGGGTATCTGCTGCATCATCCCGAGACCTAGACTCCTAGTTTCTGCATGGAGGAGAATAAAGGCAACCCTCAAGTCCTCCCTCTCGACAACTCCTCCAACGAGGCGTCAACGCAGGTTGCGGGCCCGCAAGTATGAGTTACCCCAACGAGGACATTGAGTATTGCCCGACACGGGCGAACATTGATTGGTCCAATATTCAGTTCACCGACTACTCCAAGGGTGTCGCAGTAGCTGACTTCTCCAACATCAAGTACTTCGAGCCATCTGACTCCGAGGCTGAGGCCGAAGAGGAGGACCAGGGTGAAGAAGGTGGGAGCGATCATTCAATCATCCTACCTCTCATACTAATGTGTGAATAGAAGACAATGGCCAGCAGCGGGCGGAAGCCAGCGGTGACAGGGAAGAGAATGAGGACGACAGGCCTCTACCTCGACAGTCACCCCTGAGCAAGAAAGCCAGGCAAAAGGCAAAGAAGAAGGCAAAAGCTGCCGCAAAGGCAGTTAAGCTGGACGAGGATGACGGCGAGGGGTCGAAGGATCCTGAAACACCAATCTCTCCACCAGTAGAAGACGAAGAGGACGACAAGCCTAGCGGCAAGAAGGGCAAGGGCAAAAGCAAGAAAGGAAAGAAGAACGCGAAGAAGAATGCTAAGAGTTCTAGCAACTCCAGATCAGTGCCACAAGATGAGGCTTCAAGTTCACAGAAACCCCCTGCCGCTGAGCCAAAAGCGGAGGAAATAACAACTGAGAAGCCGGTGGAAGCCTCGACCATTGAGGAGCCAAAGCCCGAGCCGGTGGAGAAGTCAAGAGAAGAAAATAGCCAGCCTCCGCCAGCGGCCGAGGAGGCACAAAGTTCGGACCCGGCGCCCCAAGACAGTCCAGAATCAGATCCACCTAAGGCTGATAACGAGGCTGTGAGAGAGATTGAGGGAGAATCCAATCCTGAAGAGGCTCCCCCTCCTGCTGCTCCTCAAGAACCGGAAAGCACGGGTGAAAGTCCGCCCGAGACTGTATCTAGTAACGACCAACCCGCCCAGGATGAGCCGATCTCAGAGCCAGTTCAGGAGAGCACCAGCTCAGAACCGGCAGCAGAAAAGGAGCAGGAGCAGGAACCAGAGGCCAAAAATGACGACCTACCTACTCCTATAGGCGAGGTTGTAAATGACGGCAGCCCTCCGGAAGAACCAAAAGCTGAAGAGCCTGAGCCACAGAAAGCTGAAGAACCTGAACCTGAACTTGAACAAGCTGAAGAACAATCTGTCCCGACAAGTAGCCAAGATCCGATTGCCGCCGAGTCTCAGGATGGTCCGTCTGTCTTAGAACCAAAGGATGAGCCTTCGTCCCCAGCAGATCAGCCGGAACCTCCCAGCACCGAGAATGAGGTTGAGGCAACACCGGCTGAACCAGAAGTTTCGGACGTTAAGGACACAGCAGAAGACCTCGCTCCAGCTGCTGAGCCACAAGCTGAGGAAACCAAAGATGAGAGAGCGCCTGCAGAACCTGAAGTTGATTCGGGCCCACCTCAGGGCGAAGAGCCAAACGCAGAAGTAAATGACGCCGTCGAAGAAGTCAATGATGAGCCGCAGCCAGTAGCCGAAACGGACAGTGCCACGGAACCGGACC